GAGGGCCTCTTTAGTTCAAGCTGACTTGACAATATGATTGTGAAATTGTTTTGACAGGATTCAGGCTATTCTAAGATTTAAAACAAGGCATGACATCATGTCCATATTGATTCATGTTTGACAAAGCTGAAGTTGGATGACACTGTGAACGTGTGATTATGATCTCGATGGTTGGGTTAGCAATGCACAGGGCCACATACAATTACACAAAGGCGCCGCGATTGGCCCACAGGCCTTTGTTTGGAAAATATTGATTTAACGCTCTACCTCCCAGAACTTTCTGTGTTTGCAAATCACTCTCAGACTAGGTTTGGGGGGAAAAAAATCTAAAATTGCATATCCAAATAATGTGACCTTCCACTGTTTGCGTTATTAATATTGTTTAGTGCTTTAGATTTGTTATTTTTCTCCCTTTTCTCTAACACTGAACTGCAGTAAAATTTACAGCTACTGGTTTTACACTAATCCAGACCAGAGCAGAGAGGATGCACGGTCCGAACCAAGTGTTGCTACAATTGCTGTAGTAACTTTTAGAATGATATATTTATGTCTTTGTATGGATGGATGTGTCTCTGCTGCTGAATTTCTCCTACAGGGATCAATAAAGTATCCATCTACTGTATCTAATGCACTAAACCAGAACTGCACTTGAACTGATTAGGGCAAATAGAGCCCAAAATGAGAAAGATTCAGCGTGTAGTGTGTCTGACATGGCCAGCTGGTACGTGTCTCAGTCAGAGGAGGCCGTATAAGAGCAGCGGAGGCTCTCGCAGATGGACAGGAGAGCCACCTAATTGACACTCCAGCAACTAGACGCTCCACTGTAGATCAATAGAGCAACAGAAGAGCCGGCCCGAGGAAAACAGCCTTAGACCTGCACTTTGGACACATTTCAAGATTCAAGATTAGGTGTGAAGGCCAAACCATCAAACTAGCATAGCATATAAATATTCTTTTTGAAGAATAAACAGATTTGTTTCATTTTACATTACATTACATACGTTTACATTAAATTCTCCATTCCTTACTGATGCAGGAGGGTCTAAGGACAGTGGCGATCCGTTATGGACATTGGCCATCTCGCTCTCTGTGACACACACACAAACACAAACACACACACACACGCACACACAGGCTTTGTTTTTGGTCTACCTGGTACTTATTGTTATGTACTTAAGAAGATTCCAGCTGAGTGGGAGGAGACAATCTTGATAGGCCGTGTACAGTATATATGCTTGTGTGGGCCTGTTCTGGATATGCCATATAGATAATTTATTAGCACTGTAAATACATTATAACTTTTTTTGTGGCAGGCATTGGACATTTGCATTCTTTCTCCTGCTGTCTGGACCACTCCATGCTACACTACCTATGGACCAATGACTCCTGTGTTTTTATTATAGCATCTCTTGAGTTTGAACTTATTGTTTGATCGGTGTTGGTGAACCGACAGCTTCCTCCGAGATAACTAATGTTGTGATTTAGAGCTATACAAGAATACATTGAATTGAATGGAACTGAATTGGGTAATAATGTGATGATGAAGACTAAAATGACACCTGGTAGTGTTGCTGTTGAGCGCAATAATCCAGGCATTATTATGAGCTAAAACCTTCAAACGCCAAACATGTCTTATCTGGTACATGGGGACGTGTGCAGAACATCTCCAGCTTGGCACAGTTGCTAATAAGAAAGTAGGATTGTGACAGAAGACATCTTGAGGCTTTTTGAACGCCTCCGAGCGCCGCTCAGAGCAGTGCTGATGAGGCCGCTCTTTATTGCCAGCTGTCACACGCCGCACAGGAGACAAGGAGCAATCTTCACAATAGTTTGAGTCAGACGTGACAATATACACGGCTTTTTTTGTTACAGCCAAATCCCTGCCGCTTTGGTGGAGGTACTGTAATCTTAACACCCATTCCAGTTTGAAAACAAGGGTAGGGTTCTTTTTTTAATTTAAATAAGTAATAGAAACCCAGCTGTTTACATATATTCTGTAATTGCTTTGCTAATAATGTGTTTCTATAACAATTCTTACTGTGCAGGCTCAAATGCATGTAGGTTGTTATGGCAACAGCTGGCATTGTTTGTATGGATTAGACCAACTCTGAGGAGGCGGGTTTAAGGACAATGGTGATGATCCAGGACACTCGACCTTCAACAACATTTATGTATTTTAATTAAAACAATTTTTCATTGCATTTCCTGTGTTTGAACAGTCTTCCTGAAAATGTGAGACAAACTTTAACTGTTCAAATCCAGATTAAAAACAGTTCTGTTTGGCTGTGCATACAACTGAGGGATTTATCTCTTTAACGTACTGTTAATTAATTAATTATTTATGATTTTATTTCCATGTATAATTGTAATATTTATTTTGTTGTCCAGCACTTTGATTTCCCTAACAAATAACCTTGCCTTGGCTTAGATCATGTCTGTTGGTAGAGCAATGCTAAAATTTGATAAAAGTGGACATATGAAACTGTTTTACGGAGCCATAATCTTCACCTGCAAATATTATCTGTCCTTTAACTCTTCTTCATTGTCATCTTGTTTAGTCACCACAGTCCTCAAGAGCAAGGTGTAAATACAGTTAGAGCTTTGGTGTAGACAAGCCAGAGTCAATTCCAGGATAATTCCATATTCATTTCTTATTAGATATGATCCCAGCTCGATCTCCGGGGAAATTACAGCGCTATAAGCCTCCAGCTCAGCAATATTAGCCGGCCTAAAAGACAAAATCATTGCGAACCTGCACGATAGGTTTGGAAGATTTCATTCAAGTATTGATTTGAATTGTATTGAAGTAAAATTAAAAAGGAGAAAATGCAATTGCCATCTGATTGGACATGCATTATTCAATTTCCAACACCAATGCTTAAAAAATTGACATTGACTTATTGTTACTGTGTAGGACCAAAAGTTTGTGCATGTATACACAACTCCACAATCATGCATGCACACACACACACACACACACAAACACACACACACACACACACTCCCTCTGTTCCTCTGCAGGTCTAATGGACAATACCAGCTGCTACGATAGAAAGTGGGAGAGCTCTGCCAAATGGCGCTAGGCCTAAAAGGAGCTCTCATAAACTCGGCCAAAACTTGGTCAGGGATACTTCCTGGGCAGCCCCATTTACCGTACTGATTTAGTAAGGCTAATTTGGGACTATTATGTAACGTTCAAATGAGGCCTCAAGGCGAGAAAGCCCTTCAAATTCACAGCAACAATAAATTAGATTAAAGTTGTATTTTGGAACAAATCGCCATGCATAGATCACATTATATTATACTACATTGCATTACAAACAAAGTAGTAAACATGCAGCTTCATTTTCTTGATGTTTCATGTTTGGTCACAAGTAGGAAGTCCTGTTAAATTAGATGGCCCCATATTAATTACACAAATTGTAAAATTGTGCTTGACACTAGTGATTCAATTTATCGCCGCGGGATACGTGCTGAATCTCGTTACGCCGTGGAAATTATACAATATCTGACAGTGGTTATTTGAGCCGCCTTCAAAGACAAGCCCCAAGGAAAGACTGGTGCAATCTATCTAAAAAAACATCTACTTTATGACAACAGCATTAGTGAGCGTTTTCATTTTGTGCAACCGAGCTGTGGAACGTGGAAATGCATAAACTCAGAGAAAACTGCTTCTGCCGTTGTTGTTGTTGTTGTTATAGGGGTAGTAATGTTGTCAGCTGATATTACTGATACATAAGTCCAAATCAAGAGTCAAGGGATGTCAAAGATTTTTAGTGGTTTTAGTGGTTTTATTTAAAGGACAATGGACAAGGCATTATGTTTCTCTAATGTTTGAGTCAAAATATCTAGAAATGTCATGTTCCTTATCATTAAAACTCTTCACCTTTAACCAATAATAATAATAATAATGATGATAATAATAATGCATCGATTTTATATAGCGCTTTTTTGGACACTCAGAGACGTTTCACATGTCATTATTCACTGCAAACAATGTGGTGATAAACTACAACTTTAGCCACAGCTGCCCTGGAGCATGCTGACAGAAGCGAGGCAACCAGTAGTGCCATCTGCTCCTCCGACCACCACCAACCATTCACACACACACACACACCAGACTCATTCCAGGCAATGTGGGTAAAGTGTCTTGCCCAAGGACATGGCGACAGTTTGGCACTTTACAGCCACTGTGGCACCTGGAGTTCCCAGAGGTCTCCTATCACAGTACTAATCAGGCCCTGCACTGCTTGCCCTTCAGAAGGCTGACAGGATCTGGCTTTCGCATACAGGTATGGCCAACCAAGTTCCTAAGGGGTGCTTTTTCACAATATCACAAACATATATGCACACAATTTCAATGCATCTGAAAAACAGAATAAATCTTTGATTGTAGCAAAAAATTTGCTAAATATTTAAATGTATACAAAAAATAAATGTTTGTTACATTCCATTAAGACATGTGGGACCTTAATCTCCTCTAAGAATAAGTCTTCAAACGGGGTGAAATGGGCCGTTTTTACATATATATATTTTATGTTTACTTGCGCTGGATGCTTGCCTGTGCTAATGGAAGCTAAGATCATTGAGCTGCGTGCATAGCGGAGAGACAAATGGACTGAAATGTGAGAATGTGTCCTGATACGGTTCGTCCTCTAAACGCTGAAATAGAATTTTCATGCAGCTTTAGGAAAAGATGCTACAAGAGGAAAACAAGAATAGCCTATTCAGTGATTGTCTGCAGTTATAACTAGTGAAGCTAAAAATGCATTAAGAGGATACTCGCCAAGTGTGACTTCAGAGACAAAACATCCGATGTATGCGTTTGATTCGCAGCGTTGTCTTGTTCTTTTGCTTGCATTGGGAATTGCTATGAGAACATGGAATGGCGGTCCCTTTTTCAGCTGTGGTTTTTGGAATGTGTGTTTTTGTGTGTGTCGGATGTTTTGGAGCTGAGATGGAGGACAGATTTTTTGGATCTGTCTGTGGACTTTGACTGGCTAGGATTTATGTAGCGCCACGTAGAGTGTCTGGCCTCTTGTTGTGCCTGGTCCATTGCTCTCCCATGGTCCCTTGCTCTCCCATGGTTCCCTGCTCTCCCATGGTTCTCTGCTCTCCCCTGGTCCCTTGCTCTCCCCTGGTCCCATGCTCTCCCCTGGTCCCATGCTCTCCCCTGGTCCCTTGCTCTCCCCTGGTCCCATGCTCTCCCCTGGTCCCATGCTCTCCCCTGGTCCCATGCTCTCCCCTGGTCCCATGCTCTCCCCTGGTCCCTTGCTCTCCCCTGGTCCCATGCTCTCCCCTGGTCCCCTTCCCTCCCCTAGTCCCTTGCCCTCCCCTGGCCCCTTCTCTCCTCTGGGAGCCTATTGTCAGTGGATTGAGACTGAGGCGTTGATGTGGACATACCTAAGAAGCAAGTATAAAATCTCTAACTTTACCACAATGAAGGAAGAATATAATGAAGTATTGATGACTAAAATGACAGATTTGTTATGTTTAACCGATGACCATTACAACCTTGAAAACAGCAAAAAATACTGAAAAGTTCCCTAAAACTTTCCATAATACTCTTCCTCATGTCACTTGAATTCGAGCCTCTCTCTTTCGGGGAGAAAAGACCACTCTGTATTCATCCCTCTTTCCTTTTTGGCACTATATAACACTTTCATTTCATACCTGTCTCTCCATTCCTACCTTGGGGTCCCAACTCAATATCTTTCCGAGCTCCACTCCACAGGTTGAAATATATCCCCACGTCCCCGAGCCTGTGGCGGCCGGGTCTCCGCTGTGCTTATGGGGCGTGGCGGGGTAATGGGGCGCAGAAACGATGGCGTGAGGTGAACTGTCTCTGCCTCCTGTGGACTGTGGTGCAGTTTGGTAATGACGCCTGGATCCATTCATCACGATAGCTCGGATAAACGCCTCTGAACCTTGTTGGGGAGTGTAAGCTATGGGATGTTAGCGGCACAAGAGTCAAGACGGATTAGTTCTAAAGGTGAAGGTCTATCGCAAGTCAGAGCTGGTACTTTACTTCGTTTCAGAACTAAGATTAAGATTAAGATTATTTGTCGCACGGAGGGTGATTTTCAGTGTTGCATCACAAGTTACAGAACCGTAGGAATGAAGAGCACACAGCACAAGATAAATGAACAATAACTATATACTAGTTCAAATAAAAAAAAATAAAAAATAAAAGTGTGATGGTGTGAATGAGGTGTGGTTTAACAAAAATGTATAAAGCTATTTGTGTGTGTGTGTGTGTGTGTGTGTGTGTGTGTGTGTGTGTGTTTGTATCAGAGAGAGTGCGTTGTATTGCGATGGTATTTCTATTGGATTGTACATTACTACATCCATATATTTTATTTATGTAACCAGGGACTGCAGATGGAAACTAGCTGTTTAGTTATAATTTGGTGCAGAACATATCTGTCTTTGAGCTTAGTGTCTCTGCACATTGTCCTTTCAAATAAAGATAGCCCTCATGTGTTTGACCTGTGACATCTTGTTCCTTGTCACAAGATAAATTAACAAAAACGATATAAAACAAAAAAATTTATCTCCAACTTAGAATAATAAAGATGCATGTACAAAATCTCTAGCTTTGGCATAATAAAGCAGCCAATTTGAAATCTCCAACTTTAGCATAATGAAGATTGCATAATGAATAATCTCTGACTTTAGCAGAATAAGAAGTATAGAAGACTGTATATTCTAGTGCATGAAATATGTAGTTGTATGCATACAAACTAATCAAATTAACAAATTAGTAATCATGAAAAAATTCCACTAATTAAATTGGAACCGATGGGTTTTCTACTGATTCCGTTTGAGAGCATTTCACAGAGCCGGCGTGAGAGAGTAAACCATCAGAGTGTTATCCAAACGTGGAGCCAGAGGGGAGAGGGGAGAGGGGCAGCAAGTCAATACTCGTGCCTGTACTTCTGCAACACATTGATTGATTTACTGTATCTGTCGACTTGGTGTATCTTCAGCTGCTGTCTGTCAGGATTAAGGAATTCACGTCTTATCAATCCGCACACCTGAGATAGTGAGGCCCGGAGAGAGCAAAGCCCAACTCGACTTTCTGTTCAGCTGCTTACAGACGGGAAATATACTGGAGCAAAACATGGGTTCAGAGGGTAGCGTCGTGTCATGTCGTCTTGTGTCACAGTGTGTCGTCTCGAGTCGTCTCGCGTCGTGTTAAAAAATCACGGCCAATGTAAGCGTTAATGTATTTGTTATATAATTAACTTTCAAACACATTGACAAAATTTATTAAAACGCATTGGACCTCACATTCTGTCAGCTCTGTCTAAAAGCTCCTGTCGCCAGTTTTTTTCTAATTGGCAAGCAAAAAGAAAATAAAAAATTGCTATGTCTCCATCTGGTGGTGGCAAAGGGAGTTACAGGTTTACTGCATTTTTGTCTACCGTTCATAAGCAAGACAAAGCAAGTTCTTTTGTATAGCACAGTTCATACACAAGGCAACTAAAAGTGCTTAACAAAACAAGATAGAAACAATCTCACAAGGCATTCAAATCATAAATAAAATCACATAAAAAAGAGGCCAGATATAATTCCTCAGTTGTATGCACAGTTAAACAGAGATGATTTTAACATTGTCCTCCTTTTTTAGGAAGACTGTTCCAGACTATAGTTACATAATACAAAGCTTGTGTATAAACTGTGCTATATAAATAAACTTGTCTTGCATACATGTGTCACATGCAGAAAGATTGTGGCCACAAAAGTTCTTCGACTATTGTGCACTATAAATGTTGTCCCTTTGTAGAAAAAAAACCTCACTCATTTTTTTTTAGTTCAAAGCCATAAATAGCTACAGTTCATTTCTGCTGCTTGTTCTGCTGCTGGTTCTGCCGCTGGTTCTGCCGCTGGTTCTGCCGCTGGTTCTGCCGCTGGTTCTGCTGCTGGTTCTGCCGCTGGTTCTGGTGCTGGTGGTCCATGCCCTGAGCAGCGGTGCAGGTGATACTTGTACACAGGGCTGTTCATAGACACAGTTGATCATGCGTACACATCTTATTTCTGCATAATTGATTAAATTACAGAGTGTTCCTGCAGCTCCTGAGGATGAACACCTGGACTCCTGCTCTGCCTCCAGGATAAACTTAGGAAACATTTACATATGTATATCTAATCTTTTTCACTAGATTTACAGCACATTATTGGTAACTCGGAGCATATGGCTTTGGGCAACTCCTAATTTTTTTACAGCAACGGTTTAAGGTTTGAAAATACACACACGTCACAATCAAACACAGAAGAATAAATGAAACAATATGGGAAGAAATGTCTTGTGCTTTTTACTGAAGCTGGAAATAAAGTCATACCATTCTAGTTCTAATTACTGCAGTAGTGATGTTTATCATTGTCACACTTCTAACTGATGAATGTTCTGGAATGTGCAATATTGAGACACTTCAATCATTCATTGATTTCATTGTCACAAAAACAACAACATTCCATTTTGAGCGCCATCGTGATAGACGTAAACAGCACTATGTGAGGATAAAGTATTTGTAGCAGTTTTGGGCCACATGAATACATATTACTTACCAACTACAAGTTGACATCAGCCAAGCATGACAAGGACATATTGACTAAATGTTTTTGTATCACAATTTCTGTCAGTTTGAACTAGATCAGAATAAAAATTGTGAACTTTGAACGTGAAGTGTTCTCTTTGAGCATGTATGAACTGAACATGAACTAGTTCAGAAACTGGCACAACACTGCTCATTCAACCAAACCCAACGCACACACACACAGACTCGACACAAGCGCAACACACACAGACACACAATGATTAATATAGAAAAATTACCCCTATAACCCCCATATTTATTTATTTTTATTTCTATTTGGATTACAGATGGAAAGTAGCATGGTACTAAATCTGATGCAGCCATCTTTTTAATGTAACTGTCGTTAATAAATAAACTTAAAATTACACTTAAACTTGACACAATACACAAACACAAGCACAGCACACATCAAAACGCAGGCCCGAACATTCTCTGACCATACACCACCCTCCCACATACTTCTTCAGCTTTTAAACTGTAACAGAAGCCTAAACATGGATCAGGCTTAGTGTCTGCTGATGGGACTCGATACAGGTGTAGGACTTATCTAAGTCCAGTTTGATGGACCACTGCTGTAAAACTACTACTGTGATGTCTCACATGGGAAACGCCCCCTCGGGTGTTCACAGAAGCCCTATTAACCATTGCGCTAGCTTTGAGTGGCTGGCAGTGGTGACGTCGCGACGTTGGCACCCACGATAAATGCCACTCGTACGACGTCACCTGCCATTCAATAAGCACGCCTCTTCTTCAATCAATCAATCAAAGTTTATTTGTAGAGCGCCTTTCATGCACAGGGCAACACAAAGCGCTTCACAGTCCACATCACAAATCATCACATAAAACAAACACCAGAATCACAATTAAAACATTAAAATCACACAAAAGATTAAAACACAATAAAAACAATAAAATCACACAAAAGAATAAAACCATTAACACTTTCAAAGTTACACAAGAAATTTAAAAAAAAAATAAATAAATAAATGACAGCAGTGCATTACAAATGGAGATAAAATCCTTCAGTTGTATGCACAGGCAAACAGAACAGTCTTTAACCTGGATTTGAACATTGACAGAGTAGACGCCTCCCTCACATTTTCAGGGAGATTGTTCCAGATCTTAGCTGCATAGATCTGAAACGCACCCTCCCCATGTTTGGTTCTCACTCTGGGCACCAGCAGGAGGCCAGTCCCTGTGCTCCTCAGAGTCCGGGCTGGTTCATATGACACCAACATGTCACTAATGTATTCTGGTGCAAGGCCATGGAGAGACTTGTACACAAGCAGAGCTGTTTTAAAATCTATTCTTTGAGCCACAGGAAGCCAGTGCAGAGACCTGAGGACCGGACTAATATGGTCATACTTCCTGGTTCCTGTCAGGACTCTAGCTGCTGCATTTTGGATGTACTGCAGCTGCTTACAGGTCTGTTTGGACAGACCTGTAAGCAGGCCATTGCAGTAGTCTAGCCTGCTGGAGACAAATGCGTGGACAAGAATCTCCAAGTCTGCCCTGGACACTATATTTCTGACTTTGGCAATGTTCTTCAGATGGTAAAAAGCTGTTGATGTTATTGATTTTATGTGGCTATTGAAATTTAGGTCTGAGTCCAGTATTACCCCCAAATTTCTGACCTTGTCTGAAGGAAGTAGGGAGAGAGACTGAAGTTGACAGATGACGCCCTCTCTTTGTTTCTGGGGACCAAAGACAATGATTTCGGTTTTGTCTGCATTTAGCTGGAGGAAATTATTTTGCATCCACTCACTGATCTGTTGGATACAGTGAAGGAGCAAATCCAGTGGTCCATGTTCTCCTGCAGTCAGTGAGACATAGATCTGAGTGTCGTCGGCGTAATTGTGGTAGGACACTTTGTTTCTTTGTATTAACTGACCTAACGGCAGCATGTAGAGATTAAATAGGAGAGGTCCCAGGATCGACCCCTGTGGTACTCCACAGGTCAGGGCCACATGATCTGAGACGCAGTCTCCAATCTCCACAAAGTACTTCCTATCCTCCAGGTAAGACCTAAACCAGTCTAGGGCTGTGCCAGTGACACCAACCCAGTCCTCCAGTCTCTGCATGAGGATCTCATGGTCGACAGTGTCGAACGCGGCACTAAGATCTAACATGACCAAAACTGTGACTTTACCTGCATCAGTGTGAAGTCGAATGTCGTTTGTTACCTTCACTAGAGCGGTCTCAGTGCTGTGGTGGGGTCTAAACCCAGACTGGAACATATCAAAAGAATTATTCATTGTTAAAAATTCAGTAAGTTGTTGGGAGGCCACTTTTTCAAGAATTTTTCCAATGAATGGCAGATTCGATATGGGGCGATAATTTTGAAGTCCCGCAGGATCCAGACTGCTCTTTTTTAGGAGAGGTCTTATGACTGCTGTTTTTAGGGCCATAGGAAATGTTCCTGACGACAGAGACATGTTTACTATTTGTGTCAGTGAAGGTAACAAACTGCTCAGGACGGACTTCAGAAATTTAGAGGGCAATATATCCAGGCTACATGTGGAGGAGCTCAGACTCATGATTATCTTTTTGACAGTTTCAGTATCCACAGGTGCAAAGTGAGTTAGCTCAAAAAGCTTCTCTGGCTGTTGCATTGTTATACGTGCTGTGGAGGTGATAGTGTTTTTGATTCCTTGTACTTTGTCATCGAAAAACTGTGCGAACTCATTACACCTAGATTTAGAGGAAAATTCTAGGGGCAACTTTACAGGGGGGTTCGTTAATCTACCAACTGTTGAAAACATAACACGAAAATTGTTACTGCAACCTCCAATAATGTCAGAAAAATACATTTCTCTTGTTCTTCGTAGAACCCGGTTAAATTCACCCAACTCATATTTAAAGATTTCATAATCGCCCTGGAAATTGGACTTTCGCCACTTGTGCCGGCACTCTTGCTTCTGTGCCCTGACCGAGTCTGCCTTAGTCCATGGGGCCTTTTTCTTACTGGTAACTATTTTAACCGTCACAGGAGCAATGGCGTCCAGAACAGTCAGAACACTGGTGGTGACAGAGTTATACAATTCATCAACAGTAGAGCATGGAGTTTTCTCAAAATTTAGCATTCCCATGAACAGTTCACCTGTGTTTTCATGTATGTGTCTTCTTCTAACAATTGTAAATTCAGCTGGTGGTTTGCTAGCAAAACACATGTCAAAAAATACACAGAAATGATCTGACAAAGCAACATCAACTACATTAACATTTGATACATTAACCCCCTTTGTAATTAGCAGGTCAAGAGTGTGCCCCCTGCTGTGGGTGGGGCCACTCACGTGCTGAATGAAACCAAAGGTCTCAAGTACAGAAGCCAGCTCCTTTGCATTTCTGTCATCAACATTATCAACATGTACATTAAAATCACCTGTAATAACTAAACTATCAAAATCTGTGCACACGAATGAAAGTAGTTCAGTAAAATGGTCAATAAAATCGCAACATGACTGTGGTGGCCTGTACAGGACAATGAAAAGAGTAGAAAGATTGCTTTTGTTCCATTTTAAAAGAAATATACTCAAACGATGAAAAATTTCCAAGGGGCATTCTATGGGAGACAAAGTGCTCTCTAAAAACTGCAGCTATGCCTCCCCCCCTTTTGTTTTCTCGTACTTCGGATTCGAATTTAAAATTGGGTGGTGTTGCTTCTATTAGAACTGCATTTCCTGTATTTTGGTCCAGCCATGTTTCAGCCATAAGCATAAAATCAAGATCATAAGAAGTGATAAAATTATTAATTAAAAATGATTTGTTACATAGAGATCTGACATTAAGCATAGCAAGTTTAAAAATAACGTCAGAGTCGATTAATGTGGTTGATTGATATTCTACAGGGAACAGAAATTAGATTTGCAGAGTTGGACCGTCTAACTGCTGTCCTGTTTTGATTTCGTTTTTTAGAATTTAAAAACATTTTTGAGCTGGTGCGAGGAACACACACAGTCTCAATTGGACTAAAATGTGAAAACCCTTGTTGTTCTTTAGCTCCCAGAGTCAGAAGGGAGTCAGCACAGTTCAGTGTTTGGACTGGTAATACACTGCCAGACGGACAGGGAGCAGTGTTTGCACCGTTGTACTCACCCGGTGCTGGTGAGCAGGAGGCGGGGGAGTGCGGTGGGGTCCGAGGGGGCTCAGATGTAAACAGTCACGCCCCCCTCGGGGAGCACTGAACAACATAACGTATGTAGTCCATCAACAGGCTGCTACCGTATCTGTTTGGGTGTAATCCGTCTGGACGATAGGCTTCGTAACGTTTCCAGAAAAGGGCAAAGTTATTCACAAAGACAAAGTTAAAAGAGCTGCATGTAGCCTGGATCCACATATGCAGCGCCACAACACGACTGTAGAGGCAGTCACCTCTGTTTACAGTCGGGATTGGACCAGAGATAAAAACAGATAATCCCGTGGATTGAAGGAGGTGGAACAGATCCATAAAATGTTTCTTAGTGACTTCTGACTGCTGAAGTTTCATGTCGTTAATTCCCACATGCACGACTACCTTGGAAACGGTATCAGGCAG